CTTAGGTGTATGTGGCTGGCGCCTTAGCCACTTGAGCCACAGGCACCGAGCCCCTACTATATTTTAAAATTAGTAACTTAAAAGTTGAACAGCTAGAGCACCAAGACTTTTCTCTGTCCCCAAACAAGTGCAGTTGCCCACTTAGGAAATCAGACACCTTTACAAGAACAGTGGTAGATTTAGACTCTGTCCTGTCTCTGGCCTGGTTTCAGGGACCAGGAGGGCAGCCCCTGGCACTGTCATGCAGCATGCCAAAGTTAATAATTGGCTCTGCTGAGTACATGGCCGATCAGGCAGTTTTTGTGTGCCTGTTTTTCTATTTTACGTAAATTACCCTGAACATGTTTGCATCAACCTCCTAGTGATGCACCTTTGATCAATAGATTTTAGACAAATGTGGTTTTTGAGTCCAAAGATCAGGGCTGGGTTGACCTGCAGACTGGATACAGGGTGTATAAAACAGGGGCAAGGCACAGGCTGATAGCAGAGCAATCACCACCAAGCCTGAAATCACTGCAAGGGCTCTGCTGAAGGCTTTTTGAGGTGCCAAGGAAATGAGGATGGAGGAAGGAATGAATGCTCTCCATGACTTTGGGATCCAGTCAACACGCTACCTCCAAGTGAATTATGAAGACTCCCAGGACTGGTTCATCTTGGTGTCCGTGATCGCAGATCTCAGGAATGCCTTCTACGTCCTCTTTCCCATCTGGTTTCATCTTCGAGAAGCTGTGGGCATCAAACTCCTCTGGGTAGCTGTGATTGGAGACTGGCTCAACCTTGTCTTTAAGTGGTAAGAATCATATATGGAGGCAATCAGCAAGAAAAGCAGCTGGCATTCTTTCTGGAAATGTCTGTCCATCAGAAGTTTTTTTCCAGTTGGGCACGGTGGTTCAGGCCTATAATCCTAGAAGTCTGGGAGGCCAAAGCAGGAGGATCCCTTGAGCTCAGGAGGTGGAGACCAGACTGAGCAAGTCTAAGACCCCATCACTACCAAATATAGAAAAATTAGCAGGCTGTTGTGGGTGCCTGAAGTCCCAGCTACTCAGGAGACTGAGGCAGGAGGATTGCTTGAACCTGGGATTTTGAGGTTGCTGTGATGTAGGCTGCCACCATGGCACACCAGCCTAGGCAACAGAGTGAAACTCTGTCTCCAAAAAAAAATAAAATAAAATAAACAAAACTCAGCTTGCTTAAAAAGCTTCCTCCTAGAGCTGTACCTGTACTGTGTGGTACTTTTGACTCTGCGGCCAGAGGAAGTATTGGGGGCAGGGGGAGGGCATCCGGGGACTGGTTCTCCTGTCACAGGCCCTCAAAGACCACTGTTTAAGACACCATGCATCAGCCAGGCGTGATGGTTCATGTCTGTAATCCTAGCACTCTCGGAGGATCCTTTGATCTCAGGAGTTTGAGACCAGCCTGAGAAAGAGCAAGACCCTGTCTATACTAAAAATAGAAAAATTAGCTAGGTGTTGTGGCAGGCACCTGTAGTCCCAGCTACTCAGGAGGCTGAGGCAGGATCACTTAAATCCAGGAGTTTAAGGTTGCTGAGAGCTAGGCTAATGCCATGGCACCCTAGCCTGGGGGCAAAAGTTAAGACTCTGTCTGGTGGGGGAAAAGGGAGAAAAAAGAAACTATTTTCCCAGTGCTATTCAGGATGTATGAAGGGGGTGTGAGGACAGTCTACTTCCCCCTCTTGACTTCGGATTATCTGCATGAAGAAGGAGAACAGAGAAAACCTGTCAGCAAGTTGAAAATACAGCCCAGCGTGGTGGCTCATGCTTGTAATCTTAGCACTCTGGGAGGCTGAGGCAGGTGGATTGATTGAGTTCAGGAATTGGAGACCAGCCTGAGCAAGAGCAAGACCCCATCTCTAAAAATAGCCATGCGTTGTAGCAAGCGCCTGTAGTCCCAGCTACGCAGCAGGCTGAAGCAAGAGGATCACTTGAGCCCAACAGTTTGAGGTTGCTGTGAGTTATGACACCATGGCACTCTACCAAGGGTGACAAAGTGAGACTCTGTCTAAAAAAAAATAAAAAGAAAAGAAAAAGGAAAGAAAATACGGGAAAGCTTATTTCATATGGCTTAAAGGGGTGGATGAATAGTTGAATTTAGTGAAAATTCTGAGTTACAAACTTTGAACAAAGGGATAGTTTTATGACTTCGGTAACATAAAGGCAGATATATAAGAGAAGAAAGAGGACGTATAAAGAAAGGAAATATAGATGATTCAAAAACCTGTTGTGTGGGGTAATGAAAAGCAATCCAGAGAACCGGCTCCAGTCATTGTTCTGCCACCTACCAATTGCATGTCCTTGGCAAGTCATATCATCTGTTTTACAATCTATAACAATCGTAGTTAACATTTATTGAGCACTTAGTATGTACCAGGCCATGTGCTAATTGCTTTCTTGTAGGGTTGTTACTGCTGTTTCACAGATAAAGAGACCAAGGCCCTGAGTTAAATTATCCCAACATGGTTAGTAAATGGCAGGGCCAGGATTGAAGCCCAGGCAGGCTGGCTTCAGGGGCGATGCTCTTAAGAACTATGTTATATCCAGGGCTGATAAACTGACTCTCTGCTGGGGGGGACTGAGGTTAGCATTTGCCAATTTCCATCGTATGACTATTTACCTTATGGCCACTTTCAAGATACTGATGGTTCTAACTTGCAAAATTCCTGACTTTTTAACAATTTACTTTTTTTTCTTTTTTTTTTTTTTGAGACAAAATCTCTAGCTGTCACCCTGGGTAGAGTGCTGTGGCATCATAGCTCACAGCAACCTCCAACTCTTGGGTTCAAGAGATCCTCTTGCCTCAGTTTTTATATTTTTAGTAGAGACGAGGTCTCACTTTTGCTCAGGTTGATCTAGAACTCATGAGCTCAAGCAATCCATCTGACTCGGCCTCCCAAAGTGCAGGGATTACAGGTGTGAGCCACTGCACATGGCCAACAATTGATTCTTGTTAGTCAGCACCATCTGACTCTAGTCCCTACTAGTTTGGTCTCTATTTCATCATCTAAAAAATGAAGGGGAGGGGCGGCGCCTGTGGCTCAAAGGAGTAGGGCACTAGCCCTATATACCGGAGGTGGCAGGCTCAAACTCGGCCCGGCCAAAAACTGCAAAAAAAAAAAAAAATGAAGGTGAACAGCTGCCCTCTTAAGACTTTTCCCATCCCTAAAACTATCTTTGTCTATCATCAGGCCTCTTAAGGTCTCTTCCAGCTCTAATATCCTTTGGCCATAACAATAAAAGTTCTTTAGAGTAGGAAAAAAAATTGTTATTAGTTTCTGGAGCCCAAGGCAGACTAATGAGATTCTAGAAACCTCTGTTGAAAAAGCTACTGTAGGGTGGCGCCTGTGGCTCAAAAGGGTAGGACGCTGGTCCCATATGCCAGAGGTGATAGGTTCAAACCCAGCCCCGGCCAAAACTGGCAAATAAATAAATAAATGAATAAAAGTTTAAAAAAAAAAAAAAGCTACTGTAGCTCAGCAGCTAGGGCGCTGGCCACATATAGTGGGGCTGGTGGGTTCAAACCCAGCCCAGGCTGCCAAACAACAATGCCAACTGCAGCCAAACAATAGCCAGGCATTGTGGTAGGCTCCTGTAGTCCCAGCTACTTGGGAGGCTGAAGTAAGAGAATCGCTTGAGCACAAGAGTTGGAGGTTACTGTGAGCTGTGACACTACAGTACTCTCCCAAGGGTGACGTAGTGAGACTCTGTCTCAAAAAATGAAAAAAGAATGTCTGTAATGTCCCTTTTAGCAACATGCCCCTAAAGAGTAAAAAGATAAAGGGTTATTCCAAAAATCTGACCTCAGTTAAAGAGGCTCTGTCTCAAAAAAAAAAAAAAAAAGAAAGAAAGAGCTGTGGATTCTGTATTGGTGGAGGTTAGAAATCACAATTCCACCTTCACAGGGAAAAGAGTCACCCTGACTGACATTTGCCACCTATTTCCACAGTGAAGAACATACCTAGTGCTTTAAAAGCAGAAATGGTTTGTCTGAGATAGTCTGTTTCAAAACAAAGGGGATATAGAACAAGCATCTAAAGCTATCTATGACCTCACAGAGAGCAATGATGAGGGGAATGGAGGCCTACATCTTTTGTGGGGCTTATCTTTGGGGCCAGGTGCATTCTCTGATGCTAGAGAAAATGCAAGATCCCTGAGGCCTGAAGAAAGAGACGAGGGAACCTGTAATATATGCAAATCCAACTTGCAAACTGTAGTTCCATATGCATTCTTCCTGAACAAATTCTTTTTGAGGTTTAAAAAAAAAAGTCAGCTGCGGGGTGGCGCCTGTGGCTCAAGGAGTAGGGCACTGGCTCCATATACCAGAGGTGGCAGGTTCAAACCCAGCCCCAGCCAAAAACTGCAAAAAAAAAAAGTCAGCTGTAGCTCGGTACCCATAGCTCAGTGGTTAAGACACCAGCCACATACACGAGGTCTGTCTGGGCCTGCTATACAACAATGATAACTACAACAAAAACTAGCTAGGCATTGTGGCAAGCACCTGTAGTCCCAGCTACTTGGGAGGCTGAGACAAGAAAATCGCTTAAGCCCAAGAGTTTGAGGTTGCTGTGAATTGTGACACTATGTCACTCTAATGAGGGCAACATGGTGAGACTCTGTCTCAAAAAAAAAAAAAAAAAAGTCAGCTGGACTTGATGGCTCACAGTAATCCTAGCACTCTGGGAGGCTGAGGCAGAAGGGTTGCTTGAGGGCAGAAGTTCAGGACCAGTCTGAGTAAGAGCAAGACCCCATCTCTACCAAAAATAGAACAATTAGCTGGGTGTCCTGGTGGGCTCCTGTGGTCCCAGCTAATAGGGAGGCTGAGGCAGGAGAATCTCTTGAACCCAGGAGTTTGAGGTTACAGTGAGCTATGACATCCAGGTGACAGAGCAAGACCCTGTGTCAAACAAACAAAGTCACACTGCTGCCGTTAATATGGATTTTGGAATCTTAGGTTTATTTTTTACTTATGTCTGAAAAGATGACACATTCAAATGGTTCACAATGCAAATGTTTTATAAGGATATGTCATAAAACAGCTCCCTCCCGGACTTCTCCCCAGTTACCCAGTTCTTTGTGGAGCCAACTTGTGGTGCTTTTCCTCAAGGTGCTCTCTTTCTCAAAGTTGTGGGCTTCGGCCAAAGCATCCATTCATTAACTACAGACACTGGTGCTGCTTCTCCATAGGATTCTCTTTGGACAGCGCCCATACTGGTGGGTCCTGGACACGGACTACTACAGCAACACTTCCGTGCCCCTGATAAAGCAATTCCCTATCACCTGTGAGACTGGACCAGGTAAGAGTCCCAGCCCCTGTAGAGAAAGAAGCAGGGTGGACTTTGTTCATCACAGACACTTATTACCATTTGTATGAAGGAAGCTGACCTTGAGGGGACATGAGGAGAGCCATTCCTTCACACTTTTGTCATGGGCATCAATTTGGTACAAATCCACTTTAATTGACTTCATCAGGTCTTTCCTGAATAGCCTATTACTGTCACTTTGGAAATGTGCCTATTCCAGAAGCTCAATTATTAGTCCATAGAGGCACGGGCACCCCTATGGACAAAGCACTTGAGATAGTTACTGCACCATGGCGCTTTGTCAAGGGAGGGAAAGTGGTAGAAGCCCGAGCCTTGACTGGCCTTCTCAGCAGCCTGGTCCAGAGGATGTGTTCTCCTGAGCTGCCTGCCCTGCCCTCATTTTGTTTGTTTCAGCCAGATAGGTATTGTAAAGTCAAACAATAGATTTAGTTTTTCACTTTGTGTAATAGGAAGCGCTAACCCCTCCCTCACCCTGAGGTCATAGGATTAACATCCCTCCCTCAGAGGCCTTTTTTCTGACCCCCAGACTAGGGAATGCTCCTTAGAGCACTCTCACAGACCACTGATTCACTTCAGAGAGTATTTGCTCATTCATAAAGCCGTTTATGGAGCGCCTACTAAGGGCTAGTCATTGTCTTAGGTATTAGAGGTACCTGTGTCGGTGAAACAGATACGAAGATCCCTGCCTTCCTGAAGCTGAAATTCAAATGGAGGAGGTGCAATACATAAAAATCATAGTAAATAAAGCATTCAGGGCATTAGCGGATGATCTTTTATATGCAAAATAGGAGAAAGAGAGGCTGGGCACCATGGTTCATGCCTGTAATCCTAGCACTTTGGGAGGTTGAGATGGGCACATTGCTTGAGTTCAGGAGTTTGAGACTAGCCTGAGCAAAAGTGAAACCTCCAACTCTTAAAAAATAATAAAAAAGGAAGGCTGAGCACAGTGGCTCATGCCTTAAATCCTAGCACTCTGGGAGGCTGAGGCATGTGCATTGTCTGAGTTCAGGAGTTCAAGATCAGTCTGAACAAGAGCGAGATCCCATTCTCCCAAGAGAATTGCCTAAGCCCAAGAGCTGGAGGTTGCTGAGAGCCGTGATGCCACAGCCTCTACAGAGGGCAACAAAGTGAGACCCTGTCTCTAAAAAAAAAATAGAAAGAAAGAAAGAAAAAGAGAAAGGGGAGGAAGAAGAGGGAAGCAAGAAAGAAAAGAAAAAGGAAAGAAAAGCTTTACCTATGGGGTTCCCTGGAAAGCAGGCTCAGCTGGAGATTAGAGGGGTTTAGATACTCTCCAGATCAACACCTATGCCAAGGAAAGGGCCGGAACAAACAGGGCAGAAGGAGAAATCCTGCAATTCTGTCTCAACTGACCCTACAGGGAGCTCTGAAGTGGGGGATGGCTCTTCAGAGTTACTTCGAACTGGGTCGAGGGGACCAGGCCTTTATGCCCGATATAGACCAGTTATTGTGTGCAGGTTCCCTTTAGAGAGAGCATAACCTTAATTAAGGTGGCTTTCCTCAGCCTAGGGCAATGCCAAGAGAAGGCTGAGAGTGGAGGGCCATGTGCCATCACACTCTCAACAGTGGGAAATAAGGTCTTCCATCCAGGAGCAGTTCTGGGTGGCGCATCATCTCAGAACCCTCTATTTCTCAGGGCAGAGGAATCAGGAAAGGGAACCTGAGTAATAAAGGTTAATTAATATGCAGTATTAAATAAAGTGGTCAGAGCACAACTCATTGGGAAAGCGAGATCTGAATCAAGACTCGAAGAATGTGAGGGAGTCGGCCAGGGATTTTCTGGCAGAAGAGCTATCTGGCCAGAGGATTGCCACATGAAGGCCTGAGGTGGGAGCATGCCCAGCACTCTCCTGAACAGTGAGGCCAAGAGGCGAAAGAGCAGAGGGAGAGAACAGAAGTGGTGGAAGGCAGATCGGTTTGTAACTGTGCACCCAGTATGCTGATCCTTTGTGTAATCTCCAGGCTGTGTGTAACTACAAGGGCAGGAAGCTTCTGTGCTTTTGCTCACATGGTATTCCCAGAGCTTTGCACAATGGTTGGCACATTATAGCACCTCCACAGATATTTGTCAAGTAAACAAGTTATGGATAAATGAGCGGATGGCAGGATGGAAGAGTGAGTGAATGGATGGATGGGCAGGTGGATGGACAGATAGCTGGGGGTCTGGGGAGATGATGCACCTGGCAGTCTCTCAGATGAAGATCTTCTTAGTCCATTCATCTCTTCCCTGCCCTTTAGGGAGTCCCTCGGGCCACGCCATGGGTACAGCAGGTGTATACTACGTGATGGTCACATCTACCCTCTCCATATTTCGGGAAAAGAAAAGGACGACCTACAGATTTCGGTAAGAACTCACCACTGGGGTGGATGGCAAGAGTAGGAGGTGGCTCTGTCTTCAGCTGTCACATACCACTTGTCCTTCCTCACATTCTCAGCTCATTCCCACATCTTGGGTTGACATGGATTAGAGTTGTGCCACTTTTGCTGAGTCACAGGATATTTGGGCTGGCAGGGATCCAGGCATGTAACCTCTCGTTTCACAGATAAAGAAACCACGAGGCCTAATACCATAAAGGGGCTTCTAAAGATCAGCTAGTGAGGTAGTGGCAGGACGGAAACCAAAACCCATGTCTGCACCAACCCTGGAGTCTCCCCATCCAGATTAAAATGTTCAAACAACCAGAAACATAATCCATTCCTACCATAGGGAATCCTGGGTATGTAGCCCCTGTGCAAATACTTAACTACCAAACAGATAAAATACTCAAGTGTTCGCCTCTTGCTACAGGCATCTTTGAGCTTACAGTAAGGGCTTCAACTTATAAAAATTCCACTGATGGCACCTAGGTTTGCCAGGCTCCAACATTCCTGCTGGGACTGTTTTCTTTGCTGAAGGATCCACACCCAAGTTCTCTTACGGCTTCCTCTTCCACTGCAGGTGTTTGAACGTCATTCTGTGGTTGGGATTCTGGGTTGTACAGCTGAACGTCTGTTTGTCACGAATCTACCTTGCAGCTCATTTTCCCCACCAGGTTGTCGCCGGAGTCTTGTCAGGTATCAGCTGCTCTGACTTCCTCTCTCTCCATCCCCTCATCCCATTTCTCCCTAATCAAGACAAAATCCCAGCAATTCCAGTGTCCTCTGTGTGTAATCAACACTGTTAGCATTTCAGTGGGTTGAAAGTCAAGGGTGAGTGACTTGAAATGACTGATTTCTAGCACTCTGGGAGGCCAAGGTGGGTGAATTGCCTAAGCTCAGGAGTTTGAGTAAGCTCAGGAGCCTGAGCAAGAGCAAGACTCTGTCTCTAAAAGAATAGCCAGGCTATTCTTTGTGTGTGTGTTGGGGGGGAGGGGGGGAGCGCCCATAGTACCAGCTACTTGGGAGGCTGAGGTAAGAGGGTCGCTTGAGCCCAAGAGTTTGAGGTTGCAAGGTAGGTGGATCACTTGAGCTCAGAAGTTCGAGACCAGCCTGATCCAGAGTGAAACCTTGCCTCTAAAAAAAGCCAGATGTTGTGGCAAGTGCCTGTAGTCCCAGCTACTTGGGAGGCTAAGGTAAGAGAATCGCTTAAGCCCAAGAGTTTGATGTTGCTGTGAGGTGTAACGCCACAGCACTCTACTGAGAGTGACATGGTGAGACTCTGTCTCAAAAAAAAAGGAATGAAAATGATTGATTTCTATAGGAGTGTCCAAATCTACACAATTAAGTGTATAGAAAAGTTACCTTACATCAAATCAACTAATCCAGTAGAATTATCTTAAAATCTCTGAGTTTTTTACATTTGTTCCTTTCTTTTTTTTTTTTTTTTAAACAAGGTCCTGCTTTGCTCTCCTGGCTAGAATGCAGTGGCATCATCATAGCTCATAACAACCTCAAACACCTGGGCTCGAGTGAATCCCCTGCCTCAGCCTCCTGAGTAGTTGGGCCAACAGGCACATGCCACCAGCTAATTTTTCTATTTTTTTGTAGAGATAGGGATGGAGTGTCATTCTTGCTTAGGCTCTTCTTGAACTCCTAACCTCAAGATTCTCCTGTTTCTGCCTCCCAGAGCGCTAGGATTACAGCCATGAGCCACCTTACCCGGCCTCCATTCTTTATTTCCTACTGATCTTGAGTTGGAAGTGGGCCCTAATTTGTCAGGGAATCTACTAAATTTAACAAATGAACACAGTGCTCTAAGAAAGCCGTTTATTTATTTATTTATTTTTATTTTTTATTTTTTTTTGAGACGGAGCCTCAAGCTATCCCCCTGGGTAGAGTGTCATGGCATCACGCTCACAGCAACCTCCAACTCCTGGGCTCAAGCGAGTCTCCTGCCTCAGCCTCCCAAGTAGC